ATAAGCGCTGTTGTTTTATTAGTAACGCTAAAAGAATTAGTAGATAAATTATGTTCTTAAACACACCATAAAGACATTTTATTTCCTTAGTGATTTTATTATGTTGTTATATTTTATTCTTAAATTATTTTCTTTCAATTTGTTATTTTTTCATAACTCCTCTAAATAAAGAAATAATAATTTAGATTTTTCTCCAAGCCATATAAAATGTATTAAAAAACTATAGATCAATAAATAATAAGATAAATATTCAATACCTAATTTATTTTCTAAAATATAAATAATGTTACACAGACATTGAATTATATATAATATATTTCGTAATTTTGTAAGTATATTGGATATTTGTAAATTGCCATCATAATATATATAATATAAATTCAAATACTACAAAATATGTTGTCATGTTGAACTAAATATACATCACGTAGTACACCAATAAATGATTATTTCTCATTATATTATTCTGCAACGATTTAATATTTATTCTTAGAATATTAAAAATTTGTTAGGGCCTAAGGTCCTTTAGTGGATTTCTGTAAATCTGATGTCAATATACCCTTGATAGAAACTCAGCCCTGTAATTATAACACAATTGAATAGTTACTAAAAACTTATATTTTATTTTTTAAAGTCTTCGGATGGCGTCCAATTTATACAATACACAATATACAATACCAAATCATAATACCAAGGGGGGCTGACTCTATCTTAGTCCTCCCTCTGGATACGCCACTGAACAGTTACCTAATAATATTAATATGGGCGTAGTATGCATGGAGCTGTGGGGGCTGTAGCCCCTCATTTTATCTAATATTAATAAATTTTAATTTTAAATGTTTTTATAATTTTTCCTAAAATTCATTAAGCCCTACATATTAGCATTGTGTATTGACAATTATTGCACTAATATATATAAAATTACTTATTTTCATCACAAATATGTTTATTTATAGATCAGCATCGTATTCATTTTTTGGATTTACCCTGTGCGATCGTCATTGTCACGTCGTCCAATGATAATATTATAACGATTACGGATAGTAATTTTTATGGAACACACACATAAAAATTATTTATTGGTATTTTTCTCGAAATTGGTGACTGGTCGTCTTTGTTGTTTGCTCGTGTACTGCTAATCACACACACACGTCTGTCTTATATTTTACCATAAATCTATACAATATATAAAATTTATGAAATAATATTATTATTTCATACATTTTTAATTAATTTTGATATCTTTGTTTCTTTTTTTCTTGTTTTTCTTATTTTTTTTTTTAAAAATGTTCAGTAAATTTAATATAAAGAAAAAGCCTAACAAAAAAACATAACCACTAACTAGGGACAACGAAGACTTTGCAGTGGATAATCCAAGTCCAATAAATAGTAAAATTAAAATTAATAAATCTTCAATACCTGGATGATCTTAAAAATATTCAACCCAAACATTCTGAAATTGCATTAAATGACTCATTTCTGCTAGACTTAGATAATTTAGAAACAGAACCAACTCAAATTAAATTAAACATTTTTATAGAGGTGGGCAAAAAACATATTGTTTCTAAAACATTTAGGTTTATGTTCGATACATCGATGTTCAGTCTTTGATATATTGAAGAATACAACGTTGTTTTATCTCGATGTTTTGAAATTTATTATATTAGTTTTCCTTAAATTAATTTGTATTATAATTTTGCTTCGTATTAAAAGTTGTCAGTTATTACAAATATTTGTATGTTTATTCAATGCATTTTTTAAATGTGTTAACTAGGCGATACAAATGTCACCCATTGATAATATTTTGTCGCCAAGTTGATAATGTTTTGAAAAATTGGGCAAAACACAATTAATTGTTAAAAGAAGATATTTTATTAATTATTTAAAAAAAAAAAAGTTTAATTTAAAAACTCAAAATGAATTGTTTTTTTTTTTTTATGTATTGTAAAAACAAAAATGTCAGGTAAAGAATGAGACACCTATGAATTGTTTTTTCTAAGAAAGGTTCTCTTTCTTAGAGCTTTAATTCAAACTAAAGATAAGGAGATTTTGGAATACATTTTTCTAGTCCTATAATATAGCCCCCACAGATAATAATACTAAACTACGCAAATGAATATTAATATTATACATATTTTATTATACTAATAATACGTATTAGGATCAAAAAGTTCCCGGAATTTATTTATAGAAAAAATAAATATTAGGCTGCGCGTACATTAGAGAGCGTCCCGTCGTGTAAAATTTTTAAGCCCATAGAATTTAAATCAGAGTGCGTACATTGACTACGAGTGTCGAGCGTCGCCTTTGAACATCAGCGACGCGGTGCGTCACAAATCAAACGTGCTCGAATTTTGACGGTCGACGCTCATATATTTGGCGGGCTCGAACAGTCTAGTAAGTGGTGTGGTAGATAGTTTTCTATACTTAGTTAGATTTATATAACTAAAATGTAGGTAAATTGTATAGGTATACGTAACTGGTAGTATAGGTAAGTACAGTGGCGTATTCATGGGGGGGGGTTTGGGGGTCAGAACCCCTCCATGAAACCTGAGATAGTAAATTAACTTTTACATGAAACACGGTTTTTTCTTTAACGTTTTTATATTTTAGAATTTTGACTTGGAAATCATATTAATAGTTTGTATAAACACTATAAACGTATTATACACACGCTGCACACACACACAAGTTATAATATTATGATCATATTTAGATACTTTACTACTACTTCGATAATTTTTGCTTGGGAACAAATTATTTAGGTTTTCTACAACGGTTGGTTCTAAATCGATTATCTGGTCCCGATAATTGAGATAAAATCGATATCATTGTCTGTATTCAAAGTTTATTTTGGGTATACCTATTGCATTCACGGCTCGCCGATCATTTAACATAAGCATCTTATTGTGTAAAACTAATAGTTATTATATAGTTATAGTTAATAGTTGATTGTTGCCCGATGGTGTTTCACTGTTTTGCTTACTACTCTTTTATTCGTTTATATTTGACATTTGTATTCCATTACATTTGTTTTATTTTAATTTGACATCATTCTAATACGTTTAAACATTCCATTATGGTAAGATATTTTTAAACTTTAATTTTTAGTATACCTAAGTGATTGGACAGAAAATATTCTAATATCTAATACTTATGTTTCTATATTAGTTCCTAGCTCCTAAATTGTTATTATTGTTATTATTTATTATTATAGGCAAATTCTCTAACAAATAAGCAGACTAGAAAAATTAATTATTTTTTTTCACCTGAGTCAAAAAAACTAATGTCAACCAGACTTAAAAATACCGATATCAATACAAATAGTAGTCAAATGATAGTGATAAGATTAAATATATATTAATTTGCTGAACCCCCCTTCATAAAAAGTTCCTGGCTACGCCACTGGGTAAGTACCATGCGAACATATTATAACATAAGAATAATTATTCCAGGAACTATACTCGTTGGAGATTTTCTTAAGTCAATAAATAAATGATGGAACTCTCCGTGTATTTTCTTACGACGATTAAAGGGATGAACACCAACCCTTTTCTTTTCCAACTATTTTCTACGTAAAATTGGATTGTTTAAAAGAATCATTAGACGATCTACCGTAATGAACGACATGGTGCATATTGAAATTATGAGTATATAAAAATGTACATGTTTTAGATATCGAACGAACAACACCGCTCGAAAGTATTGTGCAATGTGCGTATCTTCGACACTCGACGCTCTCCAATGTACGCGCGGCCTTATCAAATACCTGATAATTGAAATTAAAAGTAGACTTAATAATTATACCTAGTAATTTGATACCTCTAAAATAGTGTTATTAATTAAGTTAGTGTCATCTACATTAGTTTTGCGTTTGCCGTAATCATGTGCAAACGAAACAGAGCTTACGTGTTTTTTCAAAATCTAATTGTAATAAATGTATCTAAATGTATCTAATCTAATGTAATCTACATTACATTTTATTTTAAACTTTGTCCAAATTTTAGTTCAATGAGTTTAATTTCGAATGGACAGTCAACTCTGGTATTTATATTGAAGTTTTGAAACGTTTAAATTAAAACCCAGAAAAATTGGAAAATAGTTTATTTTTGCATCATAACAATGGACCGTGTCAGTGGCGTAATTATTGGAGGGGAGAATATGGGGATATATCCCCCAGACGCTTTTTTTTAGAATAACTATAATTAAATTCCCGTAAGCACTAAGCTTTAAAATATTTTAAGATATAAGAAATAAGAATTCATGGATATTGTCATAGTTGGGATTTATTTTTATTTTATTATTATAAAATTATACAACAGCTTAACAATTACAATATACAATAAGAAAATTTTATAGCTCGTAGTTAAAATATAACACTGATAAATCTACAATTTACGACTCATGTTTAGTGTTTAAAGCAGGGACTGGAACCGTATGAATTTATCGGTATCGGTTCCAGTACTTCATTTATCAAAATAAAGGTTTCGGTTCTTTTCGGTTCGGTTCCTGTCCCTAGTTTAAAGCATGCAATATTTCACAAAAACATGAAACATTGAAATTTTTTTTTAATACAAATATTAATATTAGTTATTTATCAATTATTTTTTATATAATCTAAAAGTTCTTATTATAATCATTGACATTAATGGAATGAGTACAGTGGTTGACATATTACTAAAATAACTATATTATATTATATATATATATTGAGTGTTGTTTTCAATTATTTATAGCATTATAGCAAAACTTGGTTTGTTTTTCCAGAAAATTGCTTATCGACGACGTCGACTAACAATATATCATTATATTCTATTCAGTGGTACCTATAAGGTATTAAATATTTTCGAATATTATATTACTATAAACGTTGAGCAACAGTGCAACACCAATGTCTATTATTATAAAACGAGTAATAAAATAATATTTTTTCTTTAACCGTGGATATGTATCTATTGTGTGATAGTGTAAATTTAATATATTACTAAATTACATATTAAATTATTAACTTAAAAATGAAGACAGTCAAATGCTTTTATTTCTTTTTTCAAAAAAAATTTAAAGAAACTGATCAAGAAAACAACTTGTCAAAATGTTATTCAGATCAAGATCAACCTATCAAAGAAATTATGGTAATAAAATTGAACTATTTTTTGAAATAATCTAAATGTTCATACATTTATGTATTTCTTATTCCTAAGTAATACCCATGTCCATAAATTTAAAAATCTATAACACAGATATTATCTTAGGAAAAATATAAAGAATTAGATCAATCTACATCAATGATTTCTATGGAACAACCTGTAAGTATGAAGTTAGGAAAATTTAATGATTTAAAATTAACATTTTTACAATCATTATACCATTTGCCTCATTTAATTTATAATAAATTAATATAATATTGAAATATATGAGATTAATAGTTAAGTGGGGTGTGGGGGGTATAGCCTTACTACTAAAACGATAGTATAAATTTATATTCTAATCCCACCCCAGAACCAATTTCAAATACGCCACTGCACCGTGTTACTCATCTTTTGTGGTTCTCGAATTTTTACCTGTTCAAAAAATGTCCACGATTTCACAATCCCCGTACTTAACAAATATTGCGCTTTGTAATTTCTGGCTATTTCTGACACTAAAACTTGAACTCAAAAGTTAACGTTTTGTGATTGAAGACATTCAAATATACTCGATAGCAAATCACAGGGTCATATCAATAGAAGAATATCTACGACGTTTCCAGTAGTAACAAATTCGTGGAAGTGTGTAGAAGAACGATATTTCGAAAGAGATTAATTTAATTGAAGTTTAAATTGCATATAAATATAAAAATATTCTGAAAACTTTTTGATCTTACTGCGTACTATTTATATAGAATTTATAATCAATAATATTTTATGTTTATTGTATATCAAGACTTATATATATTTCCTGCATCCAAAAAAAATTACATTAAAAATTACGTAATAATATAAACAGAAGCCCAAATCTATGACGGAGGGAAGAAATGATTTATTTATATGTTTTAATAGGTATTAACTAAATTTAGATATCTGTGATAAAATCACTCTAAACCCTTATCAATTCTTATCAATTACGTGTTCAGTATTACAGTTAGTATTCGCTATTTACGTAGTTAAACTTTCACTACGATAATACATTTTGATATATATTTCTATATCTTTAACAATAATCATGACTTTTACTTTACTGCATGCCTACAATTTAAGATAAGTTACATTTAATTCTAGTTTTTTTTATTCTGTAGATTATGTCATAATATTTTAAATTAAGCACTCAACTTAACACTTACTGCTGAATAAAATGAAATTTTTACTCAAAATAGAAACACAAATATTAGTAAAAATTTCTACAGTTCAATAATTAAGTTATACTTTTGTATTATTACTTTATTACATTTTTTTTTATTAACATTTGTATCTATTGACTAGAGTAAGTAATACATTTCTATGTTTTAAATTATGATATAATTGCTGATTACTTATACTTTGTAAATATTTGTCTAGCATTTTGAAATAATACAGTTCACATTTACAAGTGAGAAAATGTCTAACAAAGTATCAATTGAAAAACATTTAGATAGTTATTTGAAATCTTTAATTAAAGGACAATTGTATATCCCAGGAGTAATTATAGGACAAGTAAGTAACTTGTTATAGTTATTTCAAAATTATATTTTTCAAAATTTCTAATTATTGATTAATAATTTTTAAATAAGGTAATCGGTGAAAATTATTATATAGTACATTTGTCAGCAGTAACAGTTTCTCCTTGGAATAATGATGATGGAAAAAATGAAGTTCTGGCATTCAAAACTCTTAATGATCTCATTGCTAATAGTGATATAATATTCCAAAAATCATTAGAAGTAAATTTATTATACTTAAATAAAAGTGCCACTTTTATAATATATTACATGTCCAAATTCTTACGCATTTATAAATAGGTAGTGAACTTATTACCAGGAGGCTCCCATGTACTCGGTTTATTTTTTGTTATACCACAAGATTTGAAAAGTATTCAACCAATAGATATAGATTTTAATGATTTTAATAATTATTTAAATGGAAATTTACTATACAATAAAAATAATGAAAAATGGAATTACTTACTGTTAAATTATTCTTCTCTCAACAATAAGTAATTATTTACAAAACTGGTATTTATTAAAATAATATGCTTATATTTTCTTTATTTTAGGTCATTTTGCTATACAGTTGATTTTAATCGTTCTAATGGTCCAAAAAGAACAACGGTATATAAGTCAATAGATCACATTTTCGGATCATTTGATAACGATTGGGTGACTCTTGTAGGAACATTTAATTTTGGAGCATTAGATCGAATAAATATAGCTGGTGGACCTAAAGCTTTAATTTCTATCCGAGAAGTATGGATTTTAATAATAATTGTAGATGATTATTCTAATAATTTTTATTAGGATTTATTAGATAAATTTGAATCGGCATTAAGTGAATCAGTATGTGCTTTCAATGGCTGTGTATGTGATGAAAATACATTTATTAAAGACTTTAAATGTAATACAATTGGTGATGCATTAAATAATGTAGTAAATATTGAATTTTATAGAGAGGTTAGTTATTTATTGGTATATTTCAAACAGTATTAGTTTGTTATTAGTACTTTAGTAAGATAAATTATTTTTAATTTTTTGTAGGTAGATACAGGCAGTGAATATAAAAATTCTTCACTTAAGGTAGAAAGAGGAAAAGGGAAAGTGTTAATGTCTGGTCTATGCAGTTTAGCTGTACCGTTTAATCGTAATGGTACAGTTAAGGATGCCATAAAGGTATAGTAATTCTTAATTACAATAGCTTGTTTTAAATTGAACATGTTGTTTGTTAAATTAATTCTATGACATTTAAAAATTAGTCATCAACTAATATATTTTAAATAAACTGTGTTTTAATATTATTAATCTGTTTAGACTTTAATAATAAATAGATTATATAAATGTCTTAATATTTTTTATACTAATTTTTAATTTAAGAGCTATATAATTTAAAATAAATAATTAAGTATAATAATTAATAGTCAATTAAACTTTTTTGTAAAATATTTTCTTATTTAATATTAAGGAAGTAATGTAGAGAAGTATTTAGTTTAAATATTAGGATAATCAATTTGTTAAGTTAATTCATTGCATTATACCACACATCAAAAATAAATTATTTGCTTTAATATTTAATGTATATTTATATTTATTTATATTTTTACGTTATTGTCTTCTTTAAATTATTTAAATGTATAATTTATTCTTATAGGCTATCCATGAAGATGCCATGCAAACGTTTGCAATCCGTTTAAAAATGCATTTAGAATCATTGGTTGAAGAGGAATCAATAGAAGACAAAGGTTAGATGTATATACAGTGTGATCACGATAAGTGGAAACACTCAATAATTTTGTGTAGGCTTCATATATTTTAATTCTGTTTTTTTGGCTTATTAAAATAATAGTTACTCGAATAACAAAGAGCATAAGTTTCTTGGGTACGACGTGTATTCTTATGGCATTTCCAATATATAAAATGCATGTCAGCTTTTTCTGAATTATTATCCATAATAACTAATAGATAAGTATTAAATCTGTTTAAAAACTACAAAATATCGATTTTTATTTCTTAATAGTTACTGCCACAAATGACACTGCAGAATAATATTGACAGTGAAAAATTTATTAATTTAATTTATAACTAGTATCTATGCAAATATGATATTAATTATAATACAATTACTGAGATTATTTTGATAACGATAAACAAAACAGGTAAACAGGTATTTCATAAATTGGATTAGGTAGTTATTTTTATTTTTAATATTAGGTATTTATTATTATTAATTATGTATTTTATAATCTGTTATACCCGTGCAAATAACAAAATCAAGTTGCTATAACTCGGCCAATTTTTAACTTAGAAAAGAAATTCAACCACTAAAATTCATTAAAAAATACAGAAATAAAGTTTTTGTGTGCATCTGCGATATTAATTGTGACAAAAATAGTCTAATTATCTGAAAATATGTATAATAATGTTTATTAGTAAGTCAAAAAAGCATAATTGAAATATATAAAGCCTGCACAAAGTTATTGAGTGTTTCTACTTATTGTGATCACACTGTATTTATGAGAGGGGGAAGTCAACTTTTACCTTATAAAATCTAAATTGTAGAAGCTCATATGAACTTATATATTATAAAATTTAATAAACTTTATATCATAGGTTCATTTATGAATTATTGATTTCAAATTTTTCATGTTATGTAGTGTATCTACAACTAATATTTTTATGTTAGTGAATAATAATATTGAATCATTTTTATAAATAATAATGATATTTTCATTAGAGGGTGATGCTTATGTAGTACATGAAACTCCACGACGAATATTAATAATAAAGACTGAGGGTTCTAAATTTGCATTCAGTGATTATGCATTTCCTGGTGAAGATCCTCAAGTAGCATTAAATGTAGCTGGAGAAGTTCTTCATCTTCCAGAAGGAAAAATGGAATTGTATAATGAATTAGAAAAAGGTATTTATATATTTGTATATTTTTAATCTAAAAATAGGACTTTTGATATTAAGCATTTAAATTTTTTAGGGCGACATGCATATTATGAAGCCTTACCTGATATTGATAGCAGTCCACCCCAAGATATAAATATCGCAACATCTAATAACAATATACTTATTTATTTAGCATGGGCAGCTTTGATATTGGCCATATTAGCCTATGTTCTCAAGCAGATATTTGTATAAATTATTTTGTAAAGAAGCTAATTTAATCATTAAAATTGCATTCCTAACAATATTATTTTATTTTTATAAAGTTTAATATCATAAATATTTAAATTTAAATTTGCATTAAAGTTATATTAAAACAGTTGAAATGTTTTTAAGATATTTTGTGTTTGGTAAATCTTAACTAATTGCAAATATGAAATAATAAACCTTTTTATTTTTGTCTACCATAAATATCAAACAATGTCTGTTATATGATATATAAATCAATCAAGTGTTGGTTTATTAAAAAAATCTTATATAATAAAAAAAAAAAAAGTAAAAAATGGAAACAACTTTGTGAAACTGAAATAATTTTGGTGGACAAAAAATGACTGTTCATTCCGTTTTGAATTTAATTTGGTATAGGTAATTTTTTTAGAAAGTTATACCTTTCAGATATTCAAATTTTATAGCTACTTAAAGGATAAATATTGCTATATATTAAATAAATTATTTAACTAAATACCTATCAAGTAATGAATATGTTAAATTATTTTTTTATTTTTTTACATCAGTACTAAAATAAGTCCTATGTTACAAAATATTTTAATTTAAAAAATAATTTCTTTTGCTATAATGTGCAAACAAAGGCAAATTAATAAATAATAATAAAATTAAAATAAAATAATTAACTCTGTTGCTGACTTTAATGGCATAATATTTTATATGATGAACTATTATTTAAAGCATATTTTTCTATTTCATTTAATTCATTTGATGAAATTAAAATCTTAAAAATGTTTAATATTATTAGATTTAAATGTATAGTTTTATATTTTTTGTAAATACAATAGATAAATAATGACAAAAAAAAAAAAGAGAGACTTTTATTATGTCAATAAATTAATGGTAAATTTCTAGGAAAATATGAAAATTTAATAACTTGGATTGTGTTTTTTTATTTATGTGTATAATTATCCATGTATTTTTAAGTAATTTTAAATTGGTTAAAAACTTAGCACATTTAAGAAGTATATTTAATTAAACTATTTTTTGTAAAAATCTAATTTTTTCATCTTTAAAAGAAGTACATTATTGAAGTTAACTCAATTAGTTGTATATAAATATGTTTTTAAAACAAAGAATAAAGTAAAATTATCTAATTCTTAGATTCATTCAAATGTTAATTTCTTCATTAATATATTTGAAGTCCTAAGGATTGAAAACAATTTAAAAAATGATCGTTGAGTGCTAAATTTAGACATGGAGAATCTATAAAACAAAGAAATATAAAAAATGATGTAAAAATTAATTATGTAATTATAATAAAAATTAATAAATTTAAAAAATTTAAACCTATCATTTGAAGGGCTATGGGAAAAAATGATAGTCAAAAAAATAAATATCTGATAATTGTCTTGTTATTGTTTAAAAATTTATAAATTTAAAAGTAAATTAATTTTTTTTATTCTTTTTTTAACAATTAAATTTATTATCACAAAGCATTTTAAAATTATTTAGTATTTCATCTTTTAGTTTTTTAGTTCTGAAACTTTAAAATTTCAATACTAAACAGTAAAAATATCGACTATTATAATTTTTCCCAGTAGCCTTTAATTTATTAAACATTGAATAGAAATAAAAATCAAAAATTATTAAACTTATCTAAATGTCTTTTGGTATACAGTGTTAACTAATTTAAATATAGATATAATACAGGAGAATTCTTAAAATTAATTGATTGTATAAAAAACAGTTTCGCAGAATAGGGGAAAAAATGCTTTAAAAAACATAAAAATTAGAAGAGCTAAAATGATTGATCATAAGCTAAGATAATCTACTAGTAAGAATAATAGAGAAATCTATAGGAGGAAAGAAAAGTAGAGGGATATTACCTCTAGAATATATAAGATAAGTAATAAATTACATAAGTTGCATCAGCGCAATTTGGGGGGGGCTTAGGTGTGCTTAGCACTCCTTAATGTGTTTATATTAATTTACATTTAATTACTCATTACTCATTATGTATAAAAAAACATAATAGTTTATGATTTTTTTTGTATAAATATATTAATGTTTATACAATACAAAAATATTTTGCAGTACGAAAATAAAATATCTTTGCTATAGGATAAAAGTTTCAAGTTTCTAGCTACATTAATTTTGGGATTATGACTAAATAACTAAAATTTGAAGTGTGAAAGTCTTATTTACAGCATATTTTACCATTTCAAGACAGTTTTTTCTCACGTCTAGAAAAACTATTATGATTTAAAAAAAATGACCTATCTAAAGTACCACCGCATACCAATTTATAATCTAAAAAAGTCCTAGAAAAAACTTTTAGACCAGTATTTCTATCCGAAAAAGTGTTAAACAAATAAAATACAAACATCATTATAAAACCATAATATCATTCGCTTCAGTCAGAATCTAAAAGTGATCATGTGATAAAAAATTTGTGTTTAGACAGGTAATTCGTTATACGTGCAATAAAAATATAAAATTGAACAATTTCAATTTAGAAATATTCATATATTTACCAAATATTATAGTAACTGTTGAATTGTTTGGTTTGGGGGTGTCTATAATCAATAAAGAACATGAAAAAGATATAAGGGCTTCAGCACCCCCAGTTTTTTCATTGAAATTCGTCCCTGATAAGTTGTGAATATACTATGAATTACAGAGGACAACCAAAAATTGAGAAGAATGGAGAAATGCTGTCAATCAATTCTTGGGCTGTTCACGGAAAAGAAAATAACTTTTTATCTCAATAAAGTATATATATGACTGCTTATGTATTAAGTTATGGTCAACGTTCAACACCTATTTTATAGAACATAAATACCAAATTTGTACAAAAAGTCTAAAAAATTGTACTTTTTCATTGGATTTTTTTTTTTTTTTTGAAAAATGTATTTAAAAACTAATTGCACATTTCGGAATTTTGCTTTTATTTATATTTTTCCTTAAATTAATTATGCGAACTGATGTAACTAAAAGCAGTGGCGGATTTAGCGTTTTGACGCCCCTAGGCTTAATCACTCTGCCCCCCCTCCTATCGCTCTATTAAGGAACCAACAATATTTGGTCTAAACCCTTCTCTTCAAATTTTATTCAGTTTTTTTATCAAAAAAAAAAAATAAAAAAAAATATTAAATATTAAATCTTTAAAATAGAAAACTTCTAAAAATAAAATATTTCATGTTTATTACTTCAGTTACCATTATTACCAGTACAAATAAACAATGCTTATACAGTCACATAAAGGAAATATAAATAACCAGATATGAAAATACCTATACTCGGATAGTCAGATGTTCCCATCAAGTACATAGGTACTAATAAGTTATTAATAATAACTAGTAAGTAACTGTAATTATTTTATGAAATATTTTCAAATTGTAATAATAATTGTAATATTCTTACTATAGCCTATAGGTACGCATCATACAATGTACATATTAATATATTATTATAATTTTTTAAAATTATGTTTATTCGTGTTTATATGACAAATATAAAAAAAATATATTAAAATAAATATACCTAATAAGTCAATAATAACACTTAATTCTATAAAAAAAAAAAAAGCCGCCCTAGACTATAAGCCTTTTACCTTGCCCCTAATCCCCGTCATTGACTAAAAGTGTGATTTGTTCAAATTTTCGCGCTTCGGGGATGACGATTTCATCATGTCACCGTCACTGAAATAATATAGCAGTGCAGGCAAATAAGATAATTTTTCCAATGATTTGAGGTTATGTAAACATCTCCAAATTTGACTATACTGTTAAAAGTTCTTTTAATTATTTTCGTTTCGTACCGAGTAATTCGTGAGACGTGAATTTGTGATATTTGCATCAATAATTCTTTGCAATTCTTCGTTGTTTGACTGTCATTCACGACCAATCGGGAAGACCGACTTAATTCTTTGCTCTTCCGGCCGGTACGTTGGCATAAATAATTAGTGTGTGTGCACATTCCCGTGTTCGCATTCCTCTGCGATTGTCGTGCGTTTCATGTGATCAGACGTTCGGTGCCCGATCGTCACTCTTAATAGTACCACCAACAGTTGTCAGAATTAATTTTGACAATTTATTCATCCGTTTCATTAGGTTCGTTTCCTTGACGATGGCTGATAGTGCTAGCGAAAGTGATTCGTCATCTATCGATGGCGGTCCCATCATGATGCCCCCGTCGCCTATTACTAGGGAACAAATGCAAAAACGAATCGATTCTTTACAACAGCAAAATCGTGTACTTAAAGTAGAGTTGGAAACTTACAAGTTGAAAATGAAAGCTATGGATGAAGAATGCAAACGACTACGAGAAACATCGGTCTATATTGTAAGCAATAAGGCTTTATTTTACTCTAAAGTTACTATTTGATTTATATTTATCATTATAGGTTTATTTAATGATATCAACTTAAAAGAAAAATATAATAGCAACCTGTTCATTTATTATTTCTCCATAAAATGTATTCTTATAAGCACACAAAACAATAATACAGAAATATTTTGAAAACAACTATTCTAATCTTAAATTATCCTAGATTATCTATGAATCCATAAATTTAAAAAATGATCTTGGTTCTATCAATTACTTCACATTCTATTTTTTTTAAATCTATTTAGGTACAAATTGATACTAACATATACAATAAATAAAAGAATAATTGAAGCATGTTTTGTTATTTATATTAAAAAATGATCAAATATAATATTTTAAATTTATAAATATTATTATATTTTCATTGTACAGGTATTTATAATTCTAAATTATGATTATTTATTATTTATCTAAAAATTATAGAATTGTTTTCTTTTGATTTATTATTAAAACATATTGAATATAAATTTATTTCAAAATTGTATGATGCATTTTTCAATAATTCTAATAAGGTTATAACTTAGATAAAATGGATATTTTTGAATTATAAATATTGTACAAAAATATTTTGAATTATATTTTTTTTTTAGCAAGTAAGAGCTGAGCAAGAAGAAGAATTTATAAGTAACACTCTTTTAAAAAAAATTCAAGCTTTAAAAAAAGAAAAAGAAACTTTAGCCCATCATTATGAACAAGAAGAAGAATGTTTGACCAATGATTTATCACGAAAACTAACTCAGGTTAGTAAGCTAATAATTTAAATTACTTTTATTTTTTATCCCTTATAAAATTTATTTTTCATGTATATCTTAGTTACGCCAAGAAAAATGTAAGTTAGAACAAACTTTAGAACAGGAACAAGAATGTTTAGTTAATCGTCTCATGCGTAAAATTGAAAAACTAGAAGCTGAAACTCTTACAAAACAAACTACATTAGAACAGTTACGACGTGAGAAAGTTGATTTAGAAAATACATTAGAACAAGAACAAGAAGCTTTAGTAAATAAATTATGGAAACGTATGGATAAATTAGAAGCTGAAAAGAGGTAAAATATTTGATTTTTAATTACATTTTACATTTTTTCTTAAATATTAAATTAATATTTTAATTTTATACAGGCAACTACAAATCAAACTAGATCAGCCTGTTTCTGATCCAGTATTACCTAGAGATCAAGTAGGGCCAAATAAGGGTGAAATGGCTACAAATATAAGTGCCCACTTACAACATTTACGTGGAGAAGTTACCAGATTAAGACATCAACTTGATGTCTCTAAAAAAGAAAGCAAGTATACTAGATAAATTTTGCATTGCAATATATTTTATCCTATAATATAAACCATGTTCATTGTTACATTTATAATTCTGTTTTATTTTAGATTCCAAGAAAATGGAAAAAATGGCCAAAGAAGAGCGCCAAGTGCGTGAAGATAATTTGCGATTACAAAGGAAGTTACAGCTTGAAGTAGAAAGACGAACAGCATTGTGTCGTCACTTATCAGAATCTGAGAGTAGTTTAGAAATGGAAGAAGAGCGTCAGTATAATGAAATGGCTTCTAATCGATGCCGAACATCATCAAGTCCACTTCCATTTCCACCTTCTCCATGTCAATCTAGGCCCCTTAGTCCTGGTTCTACTGTTGGAACTCCAGGTAATAATTAATATTTCATATTAAATTATTTATATCAACTTTGATTTGTTTCAAATTTAAATGTAGTAAGTGAATGCCTCCTGCTTATGTAACTGGGTTTTGTATGTATGCTCAAATGTTGTTACTTGTTTTGTATTGTACGATAGATACGACTGAAGCGGGTAGTGTATCTGCATCGCCGGAACAGAAAAAAAGAAAGTGCGGTGGTGGAAGTGTAGACGATAAGTGTTTTGTCCATCCGTGAGTTGTGTAAGTAGAGGGCAGATAGCTTTTTGATTAAAAACAAAACCAATAGAACAGAGACTGTTTATAATGAGATAGAAACTTTAATAAATTACATACAAATAGGCATTTACTTAATACTGTTACTACTCAGCTATAATTGAAAGTGTCAAAGCTATTCTCAGTATCGATTTTATTTGTGCATTTCAATAACTTTTTTTTATTTATATGCAGTAAATTACATAAATATTTTTTTTTAGGAGTGTTTCGTGGCGAAATAGGTGTATTAGGCTATGCTAGCATGAATCGATGTTATGTTTGCGGCCAGACAGTACCACCAAATCTCGTCATAGGAGCACCATCAACACCTTTATGTCCTACTACTCAAGTGGTAAGACAATATTAATTTATTAATTACGTTTTAAAAACTTAAAAATTAGTTGTTTTAAAAATTTTAAACAATGTTATTTTTTTTCTTCAGATAAATCAATCTCGAACCCTATCGTTAGGTCGTCCAGTCAGTGAACGTTTTATTAAGCCCATTGTGCCACTGTCATCTAATCTAAATAATAGTGGTGGTATTCCTGGATCACAAATTCCTTCTCCCAATCCAACTCCATCATCTACTTCACCAGCAACAGTGATGGATTCAGCCAAGTACTAGTTTAGTCTTAACTTATTATCATCAATAAAAAAACACACACATTTATGTTTGTATGTTTGTGTATTTTTTTCAGTTCATAATTATTAAGTTTGTTATTTTGCGCAATATATTATTTTAAATAAGAATGATTATTGTTTCGTAAGACATAATGTATTCCTCATAAAATTTTTCTAAAAATAAAATTGTGTCTATTAAACCTATAAAGTTAAAACTAATAATTAAGTAGGTATGGATTGAACCCTTGTAATAAGGTTCTGCATCATGGTGCCTATTTTGCATGCAATGCCATTGTAATTTATTTAATTTAATTTATTATTTGTAAATGTTATAATTTTTGATTGGGTATTATTTTATATGAAGTCAACCTAGATCGATGTGATTTGCTGCTAATTATATCTAAGCTAATATTTTGTTTAAAGCAATACAGTTGAGTGTTAATTTTTTTCCTGTATTTGTATACTGTAAAAGTTATTTTTGGTGTATAATTAATTATTAATGCCTGGTAAATTATTACCCACTTACATAATTGAAATATATTTGTTAAATTCACAATGTTGCCTGTTAGGGTTTAGATATATTATGTGAGTCAGTTTTATTTTTTCAGTTCAGATATATTTTTTTTTTTAATTGCATCAGTTTGTAATCAAATATTTTGTTGATAATTATTAATATTTACTATGATTATGTAAATATACTACTAAATTCTTCAAATTATATTTTCATTTAAACTATTTATTAGTGCTTCTTCATTGCAACTGAAATCTTTTAAGTCAATACATAATTTTAATTTATTAACAACAAAAATCAACTTATAAATTAATCAATAATTAAATTCAACATTTAATACTAAAATAAATTGACTAAAATCGTCAGAAACTGACATCCAATACATATCAATGTTATTAAATATTAATAATACTAATAAATATATTGTCAAATGCTTAAATTACTGGAAAGAATAAAACAGTTTTTATGGAAAAATCAACAATTCATTTTATAACTTAATATATAATTAATAATGACTAAAAATACAGTAAGTTCCTGTTACAATGAACTCCAAGGGACTGAATTTTTTTTCTTCGTTTTAACGGAATTTCAAAAATTCAAATAAAAAAATATCTCAAAACATAATTCAAATATGTACACATAAATAATAAATAAATATTTCAAATATCAATAATTTACCAAAAAAAAAAAAATGTATTATAGATCAGTGTTTCCCTAACTTTTTCTCTACTCGATATCTTAGAGAAAATATAAATGATCACAGCCCCTTAATACAAATACAAATCAAACACAATAATAAATAATAACACTTTTTAACTTACGTTCGTGGAACCCCTCCAGTATAAGTGCAGACCCCTAGAGGTCCATGGACTACAGTTTGGGAAACGCTGTTATAGATAATCGACAATTTATTTTGAACAAGGTTTGCTGTTTTAATAAAAAGTAAATAATTTAGTAGTTGGTGAACGTTTATCAAGATGAAGTCTGGTACATAATTTCATAAAATTGTATGCTTTTTATCTTTAGATTAAATTAAGAAGGATTTAATATATTTTAACCTGTACAAATATTTCATTATATTGAGATTCATTTAACAATGTTTTAATAGTTTTTCGGTAGGGGACTTCTATGACTTTTGTTATAACAGGATTTATTGTTGTATCGGTATTCGTAGTAACAAAAAATTACTGTATTTCAATCCAAGTTGAATATATACATTTCGTGTCTATAAATAAAATATAATTGATTTAGAAAAAAAAATATATAAAAGATTTAAAAATAATATTAACATTATAAAATGTATCCCAAATAAAGTCAACTTCAACTTATAAAAATAATTTAAAATAATTTGGAGACAAAATTGCTTTTATGAAATGAAATATCCATCGTCATTTGTGTATTTGACACTGTCAAATGCTTTAGTATTAGTAGAACAAAATTTTTTTAATACTGAATCCCTGAGGCCACAGTCACTTAGATTTTGTTGACCGAACAAGTGTATTGCTTTGTCTTCAGATTTTTGGCTATTAATATAATCTTACAAAAAAAAAAAATAAAAAAAAATAAGTTTATTGAAATTTTTTTTTTTTTATTCTTACCTTTTTTTGACTCCGAACATAATGTAAATGGTTTAGTACTTTCTAAATTAGCAAATGTAGCAGTAAATTTTTTTAAAGAACTTGACAATAGATCACAGAAATTATTAACCGTGTCTGGTAATACAGGTCCTTTAACTTCTATTGAATTGTAGCTTTGGCCATCTACTTTTACAGTACTTTGTCTTACCTGTTACGTTTAATAAAAATATATAATAAACTATTGATATTATATTTTGTTCTAAATTGTCTATAGTGTACAATATTGTTTTTCTCTAATTTTGTAACATATTGCAGTACTTACTTTAAGTGGAGTTAAAGTAGCTCCAGCAAAAGCTACTGGTGCTAAAAGCGTAGGCGGTATCCCTGCATGAGGTCCTGTATTCGACACTGATGAACGACAATTTATTAACCAATTAAAAAGAGCTTGAGCTTCAACACCAATCACAACTACTAAAGATTCCTTAGTACTATCAATTTTTCGTTGACGACTTGATACTAGTTCATTCTAAAATCATAATCCATTAATGTTAAACATTTAAAATTATTTTTGTCTTATCTAAATTACCTGTGAACTTTGTAAACGTTTAATTTCTGATTTTTCAGCACCCATTGTTTCAAGCCATCGTTCAGGCTCCTCATCCTCAACAACTTTGGCTTCTTCTGATGCTTTCCCATTAAAGAGTTCACTGCTATTTTCATCCTCTTCCAACAATGGCATTGTGAACTCAATATCTATTAAATAACCAAAGGACATTATGAAAAATTAATATGAGTCAATGATTTATTGAATATAATTTCTATCTACCTTCACGCTTGAGTACATCTCGAAGTCCTTGGGTTGTTGGATACATCATTGCATTCAGCTCTTCATAACCACCAATGCTCGATGCTCGAAAGATACACGTGAATGCATTGGCAAGAACATAGAAGTATGGACATTGGTTAGCACGAACAAGCTAATAGAAATAACTTAATATTAATCAAAATGTAAATAAATTAAATTTTGTTGATAAAAACTCAGTTGATTAAATAATATTTCATCATATTATGATTGAAAATGTATTCAATAATCATAATTGTTATTTCAAAATAAAACAAAATATAGATTTTTAGTTGAAATACATACAAAAAAATCATAAATTATATCATACAAATATGCAAATGAAAGATGATTAACAGCATCTACTATAATTGTACAACTTTATTATTTTAACTTGCATATTTCTTTACAACACAAATATTCATCTAACAGTCAGTAATCAACAGCTTCGCATAAACTGAAGACAGTATCTGAAATGTTAAACAAAGATAGAACATTTTCTAGATTTAAAGTAAAATAATTTCATGTAAATAGATATTTATATATTCTAGATATTTGTGAAGCAATGATCATATATTATTTCAGTTGAATCGATTTTATTTTCATGAACACATAAAAATTATAGTAGTGTTGGGTTCATAAATATGATTCATTAGTTATTCAGGAATAAATAAATTATGACTGATACAATTTATGATTTTTATGTAATTAAACCATATGTATTTTTATTTCATTTAATTTTTAAACATTAATCACAATAATAAAATATTAGCTTTCCATAAATATATATAAACCCAATCATTACCATAACCTAATACTGGTATTTATTCAGTTTTAATTTTAACAATAGTTAGTATTTAGGTTTAAGTTTTATCAATCAAATTTAGAATTATTAATAAATTCTATTGGTAGTATACAGATGAATATATATTTGATAAATTATGTACTATAAATATCACCTGAAATAAGGATCGGAAACTATCAATCCAGTGAGTAAAAAGAGACTCTTTGAAGGTTGGATTTGCATTGACAGAGGGCACATTATTAGCTAAATCTCTAACTGCTACTCGAGGACCTCTATGAATGAGATCTACCCAAGGTAAGGACGGATGTTGCCAAGCCATACAACACTGATGGAATCGACTATTAGGACTAGTATCTAATGAGTTTTCAATGTTTTCTGTGTCGAGACATCTTACAAATCTACAAATGTACAAATTAGAGCAATCATTAATTCATGTCATAATGTCACATTCAATGGATGGTATGAGTTACCCAGTTGTGGCTGATGCCTCCTCACAAGTTTTAATTTTTTGGCTCCACGGGAACGGGTTTGGAGATAAAAAACGTACTTTAGTTCGTAATGTCCAGTCAATTGGTAATTCCGATTCACCTCGGATTTCTTCGACATCCTAGAAACATCAGTAAGAGTTTCAGGTAAATTGAACAAAGGAACAGACATAAAACGGTCATTTATACATCTTCAACAACTGTCACTGGTTTTGCTGTGCGTAAAACATCAACAAATGATATAACGCTCTCATCCAGAGAATGGCTTTGCGAAACGGCAGACACAGACGGAATGGATTCGCAGTCCCTCAGCAGTTTGGAGAGGTTGGAAGAGCAGGCATTGTCATCATCGTACTCGACTCGAGTTCTTTTCAGCGTCTCCCGCGCGTTGGCCTGCTTGTTCTTGACGGGCGTTTTTCGTCTATGTAGCGACGGGACAGTACATCGTATAATTTATATTACATTCATAATATAATAATCACTAAACGATAACGATCCCATCTGAAACTTACCTGAAAGGGTTTTTGGCCGGCGACCTTTGCACTGCGGACCTGGCAACGGAGCTCGACGACGACAACGCAGCGCCGTCCATGGACTTGATGAACCGGGACTGCAGGGCACGTTTCTTCATCTTCATCCGATGCATCTTCATTACGTCCTCCGGACGCTTCCATTTCGGCGGCGTGCTACTACTGTCCAACTCCAACATGACGGAACGTCGTCCGCGAAGCAACAGCAACTACGCACAAAGGGTGCGCACGCGTTAACGGCGACTGTTGGTACAAAAATTTAAGTCGAAATGGAAAACTGGTCGCGGGACTCGGTAACAGCTGCGAACGTTCTTATCTAACGGCTCTTCGCTCTTGTCCCCTCACCACCTGTCAATCTGTTATCAGCCGTGCGCGCTGTATTCCATGGTCTTGTTTTTAAATACTGCAGTAAGCCGACTGGTTAGTTATTTAATATTTTTTTTATTTATTTTATTTTTCAACACCCCAAATGGGTAATGAGCATGGCTCGTAAGTTCATGCATTTGCATATCAATCTTGCAAAGTTGTGTTTAATGCTAGATGACATTTAAAGATACCACAGTTAAATATGTGAAATCTTATTTTACATGTTTTTGCATATTTGGTATGTTTTTGTATACTTGGCATATTTATGCATATTTCTATTTTATTAGGCATATTATACATTCTATTAGAATCTATCAAAAATTTAAATGGAAATTATATATAAAATTGAAAATATATATTGTATTATCTTTTATTTTTTTATCTTCTTGATACTCCTACATTTAACGAATAAATTTGTTTCAAAAGTTTCAGATTTAAAATAAATTACTGACAAAGACGTAGGTACATTATACGCAGTTCATGAAGTCTCAAGAATAGTTTTAAATAGTATTTAAAATCTATTTTTTTTTTTTAATTATGGTATAAAGAATAAAATATACTATAAAATAATGAATAGATAATTCATGTTAATTCAAAAATTATTTATGATTTTTTTAAGAAAGCATTTTTTAAGTGCATAATTTTAGATATTTAGTGCATATAAATGCATATTTTTAACTTTTTAAGTCATATTTCAAAGCATTTTTTGCCAATTTTAAGTGCATAAAAACATGCTTATTTAGGCATTTTTTAGAGCATGAACTTGCGAACCCTGGTAATGAGTATAGTTTTTAAGTTGTTATTTACTGTTGTTATTATTAATTAATAATATTTTTATTTCATCAGCACTGGTTTTGCAAAAAAAAATGTTGGATTTTACTGTAACACCCAATTTTGCATAACTTTGAATAGGTAACTTATAAGTCTTATTATTCAGTACTGGGTTGGTATAGTTCGACCCGTAGACCTATAAACTTATAAACTTATAGGTCTATGGTTCCACCTAAAGATATTATTCATTTTTGCCGGACCTCATAGGTGTTTGCAGAACATTTTCAAAGCATGTAAGAAGTAATCAACTTTATTATATGTGCTTCAATATCTGGTAAGAAATGGAATACAAATATTTTACCAACGTTTTTTATTGAAAAATTCAAATTTTACTTTAATAAAATAAAAAATTGCAGTGTAGCTGCTTTTCCATTGCCACTATTGTTTTTTAAATAATACAAATATAAATTACATTTATAATCAAAAATTATAATAATTCAAATTATTTAGTATTACATAAAAATTGTGTAGGTAAGTATTTTAAGTTCAACAAAATAAATTGTATACAAATTATAAGTGATATAACATCATTCTGTGTAGGGCAGTTTTTCAAATCATATATAATTCCTTCTGGATGTAAATGTATTGCGATTTTTTATTCTGTAGTTAAAAGTATTGAGCTATTTAATCAGTTTTGAAGCATCGTGCTTCTTAATTTGGATTTAGTTTGGAAAATAATCGCTTACATGTGCAATTTTGTCAGCATTTACAGTTTTATACACTTATGATAAATGTATGTGTTTTGAAAATAAATTACTATGAAAAATAATAACAATGACTTTGTGCTTAAGAATATAGCACTACAAAAATAATTATAGCGTGAAATAAAAATACAAAAATCATATAATTTAATACTTTTAAAATAGTTTGAGTATCAATTGAATTAATATTATAATGGATTTTTTCTTTGATATTTCCAAAAACAAGGTTCTATGTTCAGTATATGCAGATACATACCTTGCATTAACCCTAAGCATGCCAATGTTTGACCTAAATAAAGCCTTGGTTGTGTTTGTAACCGTTTTTTTGCTTTTTTTTTTATGTTTTTTAACAAATTGTTATATATATATCTGTGACCAGAACTAAAACACATTATTTTATACGTGTTATTATGGGCACGGTGTATGATGATTGCCTACTGGTTATGATACAATTTTTGGTAACTTGGTATTTTTGGGCTATACTGTATAAATATTGTAATAATTAGATGTATAAAAAATATAACAGTAGGTAACGATTTTTGGATATTTTCAATTCACCATTTGAATCCATAATAATGCGTTTGATTCTTCTCGGTGCCTTTATGTTGACTTATGTTGATTACGAAAAATAATAAGTATCCATCCCCACTCCCTATCAACAATTGTAGTTAATTCATCTACATTTCTTCGGTAATTCACGAGTTGGTTGTTTAATCTATGGCAAACTGGGTTTTTTTTCAAAGTGATGTAAAAATGTTTTAAGTGCAGTTGGCACTTATTAGTTATTGTTAAAAATAATGTAGTTGGGTTAAACAGGATTTTTTTCCATCTAAAAATAATTATTATCTATTCCATAAATTTACATTTCAAGAACGTAGTATATTTTGTTATTATGTACTTTGAAAATTGTATCTCCATTCATGACTTTTTATAGAGTTTCTCGATTATGACTTTCTTCTCGCCGAGCGGATTGTGGGGATTGTTATTACGAACAATTTACATTTCATGTCATATACAGTATATGTACATAATATACACACACATTTATATATTATAATGTTACATAGTACTCGTACCTACTAAAGTTAATTAACTAAGGCATAGCGAAGAAAAATAATACAACTAATAATAATGATGATAGTTAATAATTTAATAAAACACATTACCACAATCCACAAGGTTATTCTGAGATATTTCTAAATAGCAAGAGCTTGCATGAGCTAGATAATAGTATATTTTGTCATTGCGTGTTTTAAGTAGGTAACACGATTTAATGGGTGCATGGTAGTATTTACGACAGTACCTAGTGTATGTTTATGGTTAATTTAAAACTCGAAAAAAATACAGATAATAGGTGTGTGGCAGAATATATTAACTAAGTATTTTATAAAAATCAAAAATCTCAAGTAGCATTTGTATAGGAGTGTTTTTATAATTATAGCATTTTCAAGGGCCCTAGAGACTCGAGCTTAACATTTATCATTAATATACAACAATATTTATTTATTTATTGGTCGTGATTGTAATCACTTAAAAAATATAACTGGTTCTTTGACGACGTACATACTTATGAAATGTTAACAATTTACACTTGACAGTAAAAATGTACTGTGTATAATCATAAAAATAACAATTACAAAGCCAAAGTATTAATTCATACTTACAAATAAATGATTTCATTATTTTAATTAAAAGTCTATTACATTAGTTATAACTAGTTTAATAATATTTATTTTCCGTGTATAAAATATATGGATTTATTATAAAATATTCATATTATATTTAAAGGAAAGCTTTTAAAAACAATTGATGTTTTAAATACATTTCACTCATAAAGTATATTATTCTATTAAGTATTATATCTAATAAACATATCATTGCCGGGTAAATAATAATAATTAGCAATTTGCATTTATAACAATAATATTAAACTGTTCATTTTAATGATGTAACTTCCTTAAGGACGAGTAATCGACTTCCGACAGTAATTAAGCGCATTATATGTAACAGTACAATTATAACATTTTCGTTACGCATAGAGAATGTTACTACAACCTATGGAAAAATATTTCATTCAATACTGTCGATTTTCAAAATTAAGAAATTAGGATAAATAACAAAAATAAAAATACACAACAATATAGTTTAATAAAAATTTTAAAATCTTTTTTTCAGATGTTAAGATATTAATTAATTACATATTACAAGAGTATATTTATGTTTATAAATAATTTAATCAAATAACTAGTCATTTTGTGTTTAACAATGATAAATAATGTTATTAAACAAATATCTGGTAAGTATTATACTTTCATAAATTATCCAATAATTTATTATAAATTAGGTTAATTTTATTATAATATGGTTGAAAGGTTAGGTTAGGTTAGTTTTACTCGAAACTTATGGTTTTAATCAAGTTTTCTAAAATAAAAAAATTAATTCATTTTTTAAGAATAAAATTAATCGGAATTAGTATCTTTAAATAATTAATGGCTAACTTACGACTGTTTGGTCATTTTATAACATATACATTATAATGAATAATTATCAATGGAAACCAGAAGAGTTATTTTTAGTTAAATATAAAAAATGTTTGAGTAATTTTGTTATTTTGACAATGCGTCAATGGATTGATGATTATCTCCATTAGTTTATCTCCAAGCAAGGCAAGCATAATTTAAAAGAAAATCATGTGTTACATGTGTATTATTTTCATCGAAATACTGAAATTAAAAACGCAATGTTAATCACGAAAAAACGTATACATCTGAATACACACTGAATACATTGAGCATTACAATTTCTTAAAAAAATATACTTCTCATCTTGTACTAATTAATCCATACAATTAATTAGCAAGGTAATCGTAAAATGTTAATATTTTTATAAATTTCACAGAATATATATTATGCATAATATATACTTATATAACATGAGAATATTATCAAATATGTTCAATTATTTCATATATTCGAGTATTGTTATACTTTTAGGTTACCATGATCCAGACTTCCATATTTCTTATAAACAATGACGATAAGCTTGCGTGGAATTTAATTACAAGATGTTCCTGGAATGATGGACCCATATTGGGTTTCTATTATCTGTACCAAAGTAAGTTAAGATATTGCATTATTTGGAGTTATGGCGACATAAATATATTATCTTAGGGCGTGATTCCTATGCAAACGTGGAATCCAATGTGTGTGACTTCTGACGCGGGGCTGACTATAATTTTTGGGCGCGAGATCGACGTGCAGTCATATAAATTATTCAATTTGGAACGTCTGTACGTGTACTGTGTTGATTAATGTAATTGTTTGAAAAAGTTACACAGCGAATTACTTTGATATTCATTTTTAAGTGTTGTAACACATTTTAAATATCTCGGTTCAATAGTAAAATAAGCGAACAAAGTCAAATTATTCAT